CTTGGATGGGATTGCTCTACACATGCATTGTAGACATAAAATATGGCCAAAAGGGCCTTGGACAGAGCCAAGGAAGACCCCAAAACTCACAAAATGAGGCCTGAAACATGACTTCGATGCATGCAAAATAGGGTCCCTTTGGAAGGCCCAAAAGACCACCAAACAAGACAAGGAGAGAGGGGGTCACCCCCCTCTAATTTTGACCCTCAAAAATGCATCTAAGCCACTAAAAATCCATTGGATTTCAGTGTCTAAGAGGCCAAACCATGGCCAATGCAAGTGCTCTAATGCATAGCCTTAATCATGAAGAGATGAAGCATGCATAGGGGGAAGATGACCCCAAACAGAAATGGGGCCTTAACCAAACTTGAAGAGGATGTCAAAAAAAGACTTTTTCCAGTTTATAGCAAATCTCAAAAATTCTCACAAGTAAGGCTAAAATAGGATGCAAAAATAGCCCTAAAAGAGAGATTGAACAAACAAGGAAGTAAATGACTTCTAACAGTAAAATGCCCTTAAACAAAGTTGAAGAGAGGCTCAAAATAAGACACTTTACAGTTCAGGTCAAAGCCCAGAAATGCTTTCAAGTATGGAAAAAATAAGGAGCAAAATGAAGACCAAAAGAGGAAAAGAGTATGTTACCCTTGTAGCCAAGAACTCCAAAAGCAAAAGGGGTCCAAACTCTGAGCTAAAACCAGATTTTGGAGCTCAAAATGATCCTCAAAGAACCTCAACCCAATGGTAATTGAGTTTGATCAAGGGTGCCTAGGCAAATGAGAGCTATATCTCCAAGTATAGCTCTTGCTATGCACACCAAGGCAAGAGAAGGAGAGAGAGGCTGAGATTTGGCTCTAGAATTTGTAGAGAGAGAGAGACTTTTTTTAGAGTGAGAAGCTCCCAAGTTTCTCCAAGAAGTTCTCCTTTGAAAAAAGGGAGATGTATCATCATATATGGCCAACCTCAGAGTTGGCTCGAAAATATCTCATTTAAGGATAGCTGGCGGTTGTGGAAGACAACTAAAATGAGAATATCTAGCAATTTTGGGCTTTCTGGGCATAAGTGGTCGGCCGACCACCTTTTATGGTCGGCCTGCTACTTTTTCTGGTTTTTCAGGACAAAAAATAGGTCTTTTTCAGGACAAAAAATAGGTCTACCGGAACGAAAGGTGGTCGGCCAGTGAGTGGGAAGTCCAAAGATGGTCGGCCAGGTGTCCAAATTGAAGCCCCAGAAGTTAGCTTTCCAATGGAACGAAACTTGCATTAAAATTCCATCTGTGCAAAACGTTATGCCTGTTTTGGTGAAGCCGCGCAGATTCGGTCCAACCGGAGTGATGCCCTACTTCAACCAACCATATCTCCTCCGTCCGGACTTCGATTTAGGAGATTATTGAGTGCATAATGAAGCCCCGGAAGTAAGCTTTCCAACGGTGGTGGCCTCATAGCTAGAATCCAAGTATGCAAATGAATAAGCCCGATTCAGCGAGGGCTGCTCGACTCTCTCCTACCCGGATTCATGCCGAATTTCTCCCAAACTAGTTTCTTCCCTCTTCTCTTCTTTTCTTCAACTCCAAACCCATAAGTAAGGTGTTTTGAAAGTTTTTTCAAATATTTCATCTCTCTTTCATTCATTTCCACTTTGTCCTTGCTCGGTTTATCGAAAAGCGCGACATTTAACAAAATGTGAGCCTCGGAACATCGTAGGAACTTTATTTTCAAAACATTTTGAAAGAGAGGGTTTCAAGTCTAAAATATTTTGATCAAGATTGTTTCGGTCCAAAAAAAGGGGTATGAAGTTGATATTTGACTCTCTCCTTGTCGAAGAAACTGAACCTTTGCCCTGCACACCTTTCTCCATCAAGTAAACCATCGGTCGCGTTCAAGTCTTAAGGGTGGTAAAAAATGGGGTGTCTACAGCTGCGAACTGATATACACAGTTCTCGCTCGAGCGACCAAACACAACAAGTGGCCTCACTCGAGCACAAGAAGCGTCGCTTGAGCACAGAATGCAAAGCTTTAGGTCTGCCACAGACGCACACGCAAGGTCGAGTGCAAGAAGTCTCGCTCGAGCGAAGAAGCAATTTCACCAGACTCGCTTGAGCGCAAGAAGCTTCGCTCGAGCGAAGAACTTCCCCATTTTAGAAAAAACTGCGTTTGGAAGAGAAACCTGAAGACCCTCAAACCTCGCTCGAGCGCAAGAAACCTCGCTCGAGCAAAGAAGCCAATTACACAAGGCTCACTCGAGCGTAAGAAGCCTCGCTCGAGCGAAGGAGCCAAAAGCTGGGTAACAACAACCTAGACCAAGTAATAACCAACCTGTTCCAAACTTGCCCAACAAGTTCTAAAGCTTAAATACAAAGGGTCAATGGGGGAAAATAAGATACAGGCACAATAAGCAACCGCAGAACCCAAGTGCGGAACATAATAAAGGCCGGGACAAAATTGGAATCGCAATAAATAAATAAAAAATCACCCAATCTATTAAAACAGTGAAGAAGAAGAAGAAAAATATCAAACAAAATCTAAAATTATAATACCAAATAAAGAGTTAAACAACTACTATAAAATATGAATTAAATATTACTTTTTTTGACATTTTTAGGAGTAAATTTATTAAATAAGTTTACATATAATTTGTAAGGACTTTTTATTTGAATTGTAAAGTTAAATTACTAAGTTTGAGCCTTTTATTTTATAGATAGATGCCTCTAATCTAAATATATTTAAAGGTTAATTACATTTTTTATCCTTGTAAATTTCACTTTACTCTGTGTAGTTTTAATTTGAACAATTTGGCATTACACTTTAAGTCTAATTTCAATTTAGTCATTTCGTTAAAATTTTTATTAATTTTGTTTACGTGTACACCTTAAAAAATTGACAAGTGTTCTAAAAATTATTAATATTAACCTTCAATTTAGATGAAAAAATCAAATTAAAACTTTAAAAAATTGACAAGTGTTCTAAAATTATTAATTTTAATCTCCAATTTAGACAGAACAACCAAATTATTACCTTAAAAAATTGATAATCATCTCAAAATTATGAATTTTTACTTTCAATTTAGACGGAAGGACTAAATTCGAAATACAGTTGAAGTATAATAACCAAATTGTTCAAATTAAAATAATAGATTAAAGTAAAATTTGAATCAAACTACTAGGGTGAAACGTGTAATTAACTCTATATTTAAAAAATAAAATATTTGTAAATAAGTCATAAATGTATTAAATATATATATATATATTTCTATTTAATGAATTTTTAAAATTCACAAATTATATATTTTTAAATGGGTAAATTACAAATACAACTTCTAAGATTTGTTTAAAATATAGATTAACCGTGCAATTTTGAAAATTAAATAATCCCTTGTCATAATTTTTTATTTAACAAAATTAATAGAAAAAATAAAATTTCTAACTATTCTTTCATACAAGAATATAATTTTATGAATTGTTAATTGAAATATATTTATGATATCATTAAAAATTGTTAATTAACTTGATAATTTAACAAAAAGGTAATTTGTTATGTGATTAAAAACTTGAAAGGATTTGACATAATTTTCAGAATTAGCAAAGACAATTCGTATTTTAAGCAAATCTTAGGGATATATTTGTATTTACCCTATTTAAATTTATTGGAAAAAGTAAAATCTTTATGGGAGATTTACCAATAAATTCCAAAATTTGAACTTATGAACCAATTGGTCCCATTTTTATTCTACTAAACTGTTTAGTCCCATTCAATTGTGAGGGACGTAATTACCCTCATTTAACCGTTATTGATGTGGCTGTTAGGGGAAAATTGGGTGTGGTGCATGTGTGTCTCACGTGCATAATTAGTGAATGGATGTGTGGTGTGTTGCATGTGATACATTGTGAGGGTGTCACAGAATGGCAAAACGCTGTAAGGGGTTTTTGTTTTGGGCTGGGTTAGTGTGTTTGGGGGTTCACACAGGCAGACACACACACATTCACAACACACACTGAAGACGTGCGTCTACGACCTAGCCTGGTCCGAATCCCACGACTCCCTCCTTGTCGTTGCCGTCACCGACGACTCTGTCAAGCTGTACGACCTCTCTCTCCCTCTTACTGTGAGCCCAGTTCGATCCCTCCATAAACACACTCGCGAAACCCGTTCCGTAGATTACAACCCAGTTCGCCGAGACTCCTTTATCACCTCGTCCTGGGACGATACTATCAAGCTCTGGACTATTGATCGACCCACCAGTGTTCGCACCTTCAAGGTATTCATCGATTTGGGTCAATGGAAATTTTGGGTTTAATGGATTGGGAAAATCTTGAATTGTCTGAATTGGTCGCAATTCATGATTTGGGTTTAATTGGTGTAGAAAATCATGAATTGTTTTGAATTGTGTTTGTCAACAGCTCGATTCATGATTGTATCGTTTCACCTTCATCAGGTTCTACAACCTTAGGGAATGCCCTAACTTTGTTTTTCGTTGTATATAAAGTGGGGGAGTGAGGGGGGAGGTGGTGGTGGTGCGCCGCCGGGGACGGCGGCGGTGGTGGTCACACACACAGCACACACCAAACTCAGCTCTCTCTTCTCTCTCTAAGACACACCCAGTGCATAACACACACTAATACACGCACACGCACACACACTGCTGGCTTCAACACACCCACACACACGCACAATGATACACACACACAGCACACACAACGCACACAGTACACACGGAATGAGCAATGTTTCCAAAAAAGGAACTGATCTAGCAAAACAAACCCACATTAAACTAAGGACACTCTCGTCCACACAGTTAAACAAAAATGGAAAAAAAAATAAAAAGGACCAAATCAACACACCAGCAGGACTATTTGGTATAATAGAATAAAAGTGGGATTATTTGGTATAATAGTTTGTAAAGTAGGATTTATTGGTAAATAACCCAATTTTTAATTAAAATATTAAAATGTTTATTAAAATAAAAAAATACTAATTAAAAAGTTGAAAACCATTTAAAAAAAAAAAACCAGCAGAGTGATTGCATTTTGTATAATCGTTCGTAACCTCCCTCTCCTCTCTCTCTGTAGACACTACTGACTCACTCAGCCAACAACTAGCCAAATTCAATCCGAACCCAAATTCAGAAACCCAAATCAACAAACCCATCAATCAAAGCTGTAGACGAAGATGTTGAGGAAATCGACAACCCCAAATTTTGAATTTCCATCCTTTGATACATATATAGATCTGCCTATATATACAGGTTGTGTTTTTTTGTAATTTTTTTTCAACACATCAACAGTTGGATCTAGAACTATTATTTTTATTGTTGTTGTTGTTGTTTGTCTGATTATAATACTTGTTTGTTTGTGTTTGTAAAACTATGTTTGTTTTATAGCAACTCATTTAGATTTGTTCAAAATCCTTGCTTTGAAAATGGTGAGTCTATTTCTCTCATATTTGTTTCTATTTTACATCATCAATGTCAAGTTTTTAAATGTTGTGAATTGATTAGTTTATTGGGGTAATTACATTGGTCTCTCATGAAATTTGGAGAAAATACAATAAATCTAATTTATAGATGTTGTGGATTCATTAGTTTAAAAACACGAGACACTTTTTGTTGAATTCAATGCACATTTTAACTATTTTACCTATTTGCAAGACATTTTTTTAAATCTAAATACCAATCCTAAACAAAGGCTTTTTTAAAGTAACAGACAAAAAAAAAGAAAAAAAAAAAGAAAAAAATAAGACATTTTTCACTAAATTTAGTGCACTTTTTGAAATCAATACAATTTTTAATATTTTTACATATTTTCAAGACACTTTTTACATTTCTCAATATTAAGCAATGCCCGTAGGGCACTTGTTAGCTTTTGCCATTATAAAATTCATGTATTTTTTTTTTTCTCTAATGCATTATTTTATATGCACTTTAAAAGCATAATTTTCATATAGTTGTGAATGAATTGAAGTTTGACTTGCTTTGGCATGAATTTTATGAGGTTCTATATATACTTTTGTAATATGAATGGGCATTTAAGGTTTGTTGCACTTAGATGAGAAGATTATGTTAGCCAAATTTCAAGATTTGGATTCAAATTTTAGTAGTAAAGTTACTTTTCCCAAATAAAAGTGTTAGTGGTCTATGTAGCTTGGTGAAATTTCATTAGGCAAATTCACAACTTAAAGGTGACTGAAATTTCACGGATGTAATTTCACTACATACAAAATCAAAATTCACAACTAATAGATCAAAACATAGTATACATACAAAATTCATATCACAAAAGAGATGAAGCTTCTGCAATTGCTTTGCATATGTGTCCTAAACTAAGGAAATTGTGATTTTTGCGGTAAACATAAAAATAGTTGAATATTTAACAAAAAAGTGTTTACATTGTTGATTTTACTAACGCTGTTTTTGGTTGGAGGATTTAGAAAACGAAAAAGAAAATGTAAAGGTAGGTGAAATGTGAATAAAATATACTTACATTTCACTTAGTTTCACACATTTTTTTCTTTTCATTTTCCAAATTCTTTTCCGAATCCCAACACAGCGTAAAAGATTCTATAATTTTTTTTTTTTTGGTAGCCTACAATAGTTAAATAGGCAATTCTTATCTACATAGGTGAAAGTCAAGAAAATAACAATTAGATTGCTTATATCAAAGTTAAAACAGGACTGTGCCATGATGAGAGCACTCGGAGGCCCTGAGCATTGTTACAAAAAGATAATTCATAAAATGGTTTCATTCTAATTTTTTCTTCTTCTTCTTCTTCTTCTACTGCCTTTATAGGGTTATTCCATCATCCCTCTTGGCATTTTAGCCCCAACAATATGGGAGGCTTGGGTTTGTGTGAAGGTAAGGATGATTCATCTCTATATTTTTCTTAACAAAGTAAGGATAAAATTAATTTATTTGCACCACACAAACATGATAAGTTGCTGAAATTTTTATAATGCAATTACTGGTGACATTGGATTCAAAAGTTACTCATCTTTCCTTGAGACATCAAACTTTTTTATCTGCTTCATTCTTTAATTTTTGAGGCATATAACATGCAAGCGCATGCTTTATATTCACCAGCATTGGCCGGTTTGGTATCATTTTCATTATTTTGTTTTCTAACATTTTTGTTGAATGGCTTCTGAAAATTGTTTTGAAAATATCAAAAAGTTGACTTCGAGTTTTTAAACTGTTATCACACAAAAACAAAAGCTATATATATGAAAACCAAATGGCTTTTCAAAATTTGTATTGTTTTCCTTTATTTATTATATCTCTAAATGGGTGATCCACTTTAAAAAATAGAGACGAAGTTTAGAGGCCACTTTAGTTTGTACCTGAGTGATTATCATTTGAATACGATGGCTCATTCTCTTACCCTCTTATTTTCATGAGGACTTATAGTTCCATTTCCAATTTCGTTGTGTAGTGAACTACTTTGGATGATTTTGAATTGCTTTAGAGTTTCGTTCTAACTAAATAATTGGTTTACTTTTATTTTTATTTTTATTTTTTTTAACTTCTTGTTTGAGCTCTTAGTAGTGATTTTTGACAATCTTAGTGGGATTTCCAGTGACCCTCCGACGAAACTTCGGCAAGGCCATAAAACGCTTGCTCTCATCATCTATATCCAGATCTCGTCCATCAAGGGTGTCGGTACGTGTTGACTTTTGTTTACCAAGCCCCTTCTCCAGCATAGATCCAACTCTCCGGCCTTCCCTTCCCCTCTTTCTTCAGCCTCTTCCACTTTCATCACTTGCATGTCCTTTCCATTACCATTGTTGGATTTTTCTTCAATCCACACTCAAGTTTTCTAGTGACCAATGAGGATCCCACACTTTTCATCTAGTCTCTCTTTGTGATATTCATCATACTTTTCACTGCCAAATAGTGAGGCCATAGCTTCAGTACTACAGACATTCAAATGGTAGTAATTGGACAAATTACAGAAGCTTGCTAGGTTATCAATTTGGGATATTTTTCACAAGTAAACATGAGGCCTCAATTTGGGCCGGCCGGCCACCGCCTTCGGCTATGGAGGTCGGCTGGCCCAGTTCTTTTTTTGTGTTTGGTTGTTAGTCTTCCTTTTAATAAACTTGATTCCCCCTTTATTTTCCCACCGGGCTGCTGTAGATTTTGATTGGTTTTTTGAGGTGTTTTGGTGAACGTTATGGATGTTCACTGGGTCGGCAAAGAGGACGAACCAGATCTGGTTAGGATGTTCATTCGGACGCTTCTTTGCGAGTGGAAGTTTGAGGGGTGTTCTCCGTTCAGATCTTTGGAGGTGTTTCAGTATGTTGTTCAGGGGAAGCACTAGTGTTGAAGATCATCCAGATCTGTGTAGGATTTCATTTGAGCACTACTGTGCGTATGGGAGTTTGAGGGGTGAACGCCGTCCAGATGTGTGGTGGTGTCTCAGCGGTTGTCTTGATTAAGAGGAGGTCGGCGTAGTGGGTGTGTCTGGCTTTGGGTTGTTAGAGCTGTTTCAGCAGTGGAGAAGTATCAGTGGTGGGAGTAGTTTAAGCAGTGGGTGTGTCTGGTTTTGGAGTAGAATCAGCAGTGGAGTAGTATCAGCAGTGGGTGTGTTTCTGCGGTGGAGTAGGATCAGCAGGAGGTCGGCGTTGGGTTGTTTCGACCATAGGAGTGGAGGTGTCAGTTGGTTTTGTTCAACTGTGGCAGTGGGTCTTGCTGCCATCGGTGGGTCTGGCTTCGGCCAAGGTAGCTTCCGCCATGGTTGTTTAAAAAAGAAAAATGCTTGGGAGCACTAATTAGTGCTTCTACTAATTAGGTGGCAGTGGGTCCCGCCATTAATGATGTGATGTTTTGGTCTTAGAGTTGTATTTTTTTATTTATTTTTTTACTTTTTTAATGCATTAGTGCTATTAGTGGTGATGTTTTTAGTGGGATGAATCATTGTTGTTTAAAAAATATGCATGCGTTTAGGCACAACTACCAGCAGGTTGGTGTTGGAACGGCCTGCACAGAGGTTGTTCAGATTTCTTGCCATGGAGCGTGGAGAGTGTGGGGGAGAAGCAAGGTAGACCGCAGCTGTGAGTTGTGGCAGGTATAGGAAATTGTAACGAGCGTGTGGTTGAGCATGCTGCTAAAGTGGCAGAGGTGATGGCTATGGAGTATAGCTGTGTATAAAATATGGATGCGAGTGTGTGGTTTGGAGCAGTGTGTCGTTTGTTGTGGAGAGTGTAGCAGCAGGGGTGACTTTTTGGGCAGCATAGGTGATGGCTATGGAGCAGTGTGGTTTGTTCTGGGGAGTATAGCAGCAGGGGTGACTTTTTGGGCAGCATAGGTGATGGCTATGGAGCATAGGTGATGGCTATATTTGGGAGTATAGCAGCAGGGGTGTATAAAATATTCAATAGTAGTGTGGTTTGTTGATTTGGTGTGGGGTTTTGGTTTTGGATTGTGTGGGTTAATTTTGTGGGGATTCATGTTTTTTTATTTTTCTAGTTAAGTTCTTGTTAACTTTTGTTTAAAAAAAAAATGTGAGACCAAGGGATTGGTTGTATGGATGTGAGTAGCAGTAGTAGGAGTAATTTGTATTTTCCGAATCTCTCTCGATGCATGTCATCTTCCTGTACCTTTAATTTTATGCTGTTAATGAAATTTTTCTTTGCTGATAAAAAAAAAAAAAAAATCAATTTGGGATATTTTCACAATCTAAGTCCATTGGAATCTCTACTACTGTAAGTGCATTTCTCTCTATTTAGTGCTAGTGACTGGTGTGGCCATTGATATGCTAGAGATTTTGAACCAACTAGAGATCAAACATAGATCACTCCAACTGTGTTCTATCATTTCATTTTGCATGTGTCAAATTGCACTTGAGTCATTGATCTCCTTTAGCAAGTTTTTTAATCCCTCTAGTGCTTTTGAGTTTGTTTTTCATCTTGTGGTTGATTCTCTACCAAATAATATTGAAAAAAGGATTTCTTGGTCCCATGGCCAAGGCAAACCCCAAGTGTGCTAGAAAGGATAAAGGCAAATCCATTTTAGCAACTTCAACCGAGGAAAGATTCAATGCCCTGCTCCAAAATCCCTTGGAAGAGATGTACTAATTCCTTGATCCTTTGAGTATTGAGCTGATCAAATCCGTTGTTAGAGAATCATCTTGTTTAGATTCAGAGGAATTTCAACATTCTTTCAAACAACTATTGGAAGATTGTAAGGATGATCTTGAAGCTCTTGTACGTCTAGAAAAGCTTAACCACTGTGTGCTAGGTCCATCCAATAAGGAAAAGGATCACCCTAAAGCCTCTACTAATGATGAGATGGCTACTGATAGAGAAAAGGTTGAGCTAGAAACTAGGCATACACTGCAGCAATCCTTTGAGATGGAACTTAAAGAGGCATCCATGACGGATGAAATACAACACTCAACGACACCTAACGTTGTAGAAACATCTGGAAATCTATGAGAACAAGGCCATTTCAAGTTGTTAAACAAGGGCAACAACAATACATTGGGAAGAAATTTTCTTCTCATTGATCATAGCAACCATGAATCACAAGCCCCTGGTAAAAAATTCCAATTCTTTCATTGACCAAGCTTGTTTTAGATGTCAAGCTTCACAAGATAGAGTGCCCCTACAATCAAATGAATATCGATTCCTTGGAGATGCAAGCCCCTGCTATAGAAGTGACTAATAATTCCATTCTTGGCTGCAAGTCAAATATCCTTCAAGTGGATGAATTGGTCATTCCAACGGTTCAGTCTTCTGATGCTAACCCTATTCTGGATAAGCATGATTTTGTTTTTAGCGAGAAAGACGTGACTTGTGGTATAGTTAGCTCCTCCAAAATATTTCAACTTTTTGCAAAAGGATCTAAGCGAACTGAGGCCATGCGATGAGAGCTATATGAGGTTGTGGATGTATCTCAACCTCAAGCTTGTTCTTGGAAAAAAAAGGAAAAAGGAGAGAGTCATTGAAGATAGTTGTTCTAATCGTTATCTTTTCCAAGCCCCTCAACGTCGTTGTCTCCATTAGCCACCCAATCGAATGTCACAATTTACTTCATATTCAACACTTATGGCTTTTGTTTTTTTACCTCTTCTCTTTGCAGGTCTTGTGATGTCTTGGTTTTCATCTGCGATGTGTGGTGTTGGAGTTTATTTGACTGAAGGATGCTAAGGAGCTTGCTAGCTTTAGATTCTCGAAGACTATCATTTTGGAAGCTTCATATCTAGTTTAAAGGAGCTATCGAATATCAAGTGCTTGGTGATGATTGTGAATTTAGTTGGTTGTATTTTCTTTTCCTTATTTTTCTTTCTTCTTGCAATGGACTCTGGCTGGGTATGTAAATTGAGTATTAGTACTCTTTATGTATGTTTTTTCATAACCTTTTAATGAAGGTCTTATGATTGGTTCCACACAAACATGACAAGTTGCTGAAATTTCTATAATGCAATTACTTGTGACATTGGATTCAAAAGTTACTCATCTTTTCTTGAGACATCTAACTATCTGCTTCCTTCTTTAACTGTTGATGCATATATCATGCATGTGCCTTCTTTATATTCACCAACATTGGCCAGTTTGCTATCATTTTCATTCTTTTGCTTCCTCTCAACTTTTTTGTTGAATGGTTTTAGAAAATTGTTTAGAAAATATCAAAAAGTTGTTTTTTAGTTTTTTAAACTGTTATCACACAAAAATAAAAGCTATATGAAAACCAGTTAGTGTTTTCAAAATTTTCATTGTTTTCGTTTCTTTATTTATTATTATCTCTAAATGGGTGGTCGGCTCTGTTTTTTTTTTTTCTCCTGCATACTAATTTGTTAATCATGCATTTCTTGTAGCACTTCTGTTAAAGCTTGAGAGCCAATGGCTGAAGTACCTATTAAATCCAAAGAATTGGTTCTTACATCAACAAAATATTTACTCGTCTGAATATCACACATAAAACTGCCAATTGCTGATTTTTTTTTTTTAAACTTTATGTTTGTTAGCCATCACTTGGTTGTGTCATGATAGTTAAAATTGAATGAAAAGAGAATTTTGAATTATACGCACACACAAAAACAGAAGATTTACGTGATTCACCCCAAAATTAGGGCTACATCCACGGGTGCTATGGTTTCACTATGATAATAGGTTACAAGAGATTTACAGATATTCCCTCACTTGTAAATACATGAAAAGAGACTTTACCCGATAAAGGACCAGACATATTTCTAACCTAACTAACCACTGAACTCCTATTTTAAAAAAAAAGAAAAAGAAATGATCACTGAACTTGTAATTCAACTTGAATTTTTTTTTTTTTTCCAAGCAGGCAAGCAGGCAATAGTATGTATAGATATAGATAGTCAAAAACTCCAAAAAAAATATAGTTATATAGAATCTCTTGTAACTTGATAAAACAATTATAACTTTTTTATTGTATATCTATGTGTATCAACCCATATGACCAACATGCTAAAATATGAAAAATCATAAATTGTATTGCAAGAGCTAAGACATGAACAAAATTTATCTAGTAAAACAATCAAATGTCTCATCAATCTGTGAATTGTGCTGGTGATTAGTGCGTTAAGAAAATCTATAGAATGCAGAAGTTTCTCGAGGTGCTATGAGTAGTCCAAAGACCAAAAACACAGAAGTCAAACCCATTGTTTGGACCTAAGGCATTAACGCACAAACCCCATTTTTTTTTGATTATCATGTCGAGCGACTTACACCCCTTTTACAGGAATGTGTAGCCCTCTCCTAACACCTATAAAGTAAATTTTTGATAATAATATTCAGTGTTGGTAGCTTCACAACATTCCGTAGGCGGCCAGACATGAATAAGAATGCTTAGCGACTTACACCCCTTTTATAGGAACATGTAGCCCTCCCTTAGCACATATAAAGTGATTAACATGTATCATATAAAGTGATTTTTTCACATCTATGTGCAATGTGCTAGGTAGCTTCACAACATTCCGTAGGCGGCCAGACATGAATAAGAATGCTTAGCGACTTACACCCCTTTTATAGGAACATGTAGCCCTCCCTTAGCACATATAAAGTGATTAACATGTATCATATAAAGTGATTTTTTCACATCTATGTGCAATGTGCTAGGTAGCTTCACAACATTCCGTAGGCGGCCAGACATGAATAAGAATGCTTAGCGACTTACACCCCTTTTATAGGAACATGTAGCCCTCCCTTAGCACATATAAAGTGATTAACATGTATCATATAAAGTGATTTTTTCACATCTATGTGCAATGTGCTAGGTAGCTTCACAACATTCCGTAGGCGGCCAGACATGAATAAGAATGCTTAGCGACTTACACCCCTTTTATAGGAACATGTAGCCCTCCCTTAGCACATATAAAGTGATTAACATGTATCATATAAAGTGATTTTTTCACATCTATGTGCAATGTGCTAGGTAGCTTCACAACATTCCGTAGGCGGCCCAGTCATTCTTAAAAATGATTGGGGGAAAGCTGCCATAGGTAAACCACAAACGCGAGTCAATCAAGTTTAAGCTCACAGGGCTTCCCCAAAGCAACTAAAGATACTTTTGATTATCACAAGATTTTCTCAAAATACACTTCTCATTGTGAATGTGTTGCGAAATCAGAGAGTATGAGTTTTGCATGATAAATATAAGTGCATGTAACAACTCTCGAGAATGTATAATAATAATATCAAATTTCAGCACGGACACCAAAATTAGTTGATACACACAGAATCAATAATAAAGTTATAGCAACATAAAAATTCAAGAGATTCTATTATCACACACAAGTAGCATGCAAAATGAAACAAACATACAAGCATACAACGTTGAAGCTCTTTTGGTCTTGCCTAAATTAGGTAACCCAGCATCCATCAAATCCTATATTTCTCACCTAACATGTTCCTCTAAAATCTCCACCACGGTAAAGGTAGATATTCCTTATTTTTACGGAAAATGATTTGTGGAAATGGTGTGATAATGGATATTTGATATTATCAGGACAATGCCAATGATGGGTGTTTTGATAAAAAAATGAACGGATTATGATAAGCCACCTTAGAAGTTTTGTATAAAAATTTGATAAAAAACACAATTTTCCTAAACACTTTTGTTACACTACTACAACGATATAACCACTGTAAAGCTAGATATTCTTTATCTTTTTAAAAAAATTGACTTTTAAAGAGATAATTTATACAAAAAATATATATTCAAAATAAAGTGTTATTGGATATATGAAATTATGAGAATAATAATGGATGTTTTGATTTAAAATGAACGGATTACCGTAAACCACCTCATTCAATATAATAATTTTGTATAAAAATTCTTTAAAAAATACAGTTTCTCTAAACTCTATTCTTACACTACTATAACAATACCCCACAGAAAAATTAGATATTCCTTATATTTTAAGAAAAATGATTTGTAAAGAAATAATTTATACAAAAAATATATGAAAAATTATCAGAAAGTCTCATATGGGAATCAGTTACTCCAAATAGTCCCATGAATTTTCTCATACACTGCTAGTTCCTCTTTGTTTTGATGATCTTACCATGAGATCCTATTTTAAATTTTGGTATGATTTGGTAGGCATTCATACCTTTCCTCATTGGGGAACGCCATCTTAGGGAAGTTGGATCTAATTTTTGGATCACGTTTTCCGTCACTCTAATGTAAAAACATCACACACTAAAAAACTCAGTGTACTTTTAAAAAACGTAACACTACTCCTCCAACATAGCACTAAAAGACTCCTCCAATACTATAACGTAATACATCAAAAGATCCCCTTAGTATATATATATATATATATATTTCTAAACGTAACACTCCAATAACGTAACACTTCAACACTCCAACGTAACATACTAAAAATCTCCTTAGTGTACTTTTCATAAACGTAACACTCCTCTAACATAATATACCGAAAAACTCCCCCAACATAGCACACTATACTAAAAAACTCCTTAGTGTATTTTTTACAAATATAACACTCCTCCAACGTAACATACTAAAAAAACTCCGTAGTGTACTTTTTCCAAACGTAACACACCAAAAGACTTCTTAGTGTACTTTCACGAAACGTAACACTCCAATATAATACTAGCACATCAAAAAACTCCTTAGTATATTTTTCACAAACGTAACACTCCTCCAACGTAACACGTTGAAAAACTCCTCAAATGTAACACTATAACATTGCACACTACACTAAAAAATTTCTTAGTGTACTTTTTACAAACGTAATACTTCTCCAATGCAACATACTAAAAAACTCATCAAACATAACACTTTGATGTAAGACACTAAAAGACTCCTTAGTGTACTTTTTCCAAACGTAACAGTTCGATGTAACACTAACACAATAAAAAAACTCCTTAATGTATTTTTTTTCCAAATATAACACTCCAACGTAACTCCCCAAATGTAATGCTCCAATATGATGGGCAAATGAGTCATTACAGTTTCTCTAAACTCTTTTGTTACACTACTGCAACAATACATCACAAAATTTCCCTAAACTCTTTTGTTAGACAATTACAACAAATACACCACAGTAAAACTAGATATTGCCTATCTTTTAAGAAAAATAATATGTATTTAGAATGATGTGGCAATGAGTGTATGAAATTATGAGCATAATGATGGGTGTTTTGATTCAAAATGACTGGATCACTGTAAACCATCTCATTCTATATAGAAATTTTGTATAATTTTTTTTTTTAAAAAAAAAAAACACACAATTTCCCTAAACTCTTTTGTTGCACTACTACAACAATACACCACAGTACAACTAGCTATTACTTATCTTTTAAGAAAAATAATTTGTATAGAGATAATTTGTACATATAAAAAAAAATGTATGTTCAAAATGATGTGGTAATTAATGTATATATGAAATTATGAATATAATGATGGATGTTTTGATTCAAAATGGATTACCATAATCCACCTAATTCTATTTAGAAATTATATATATATAATATCTTTTTTAGGAAAAAAAAAAAAACACAATTTCCTTAAACTCTTTTGTTACACTACTACCACAATATTAAAACAGCCAATGAGATAACTAGCAATAACTACTCAGTGTATATCAATGTATATTTATTTAATTCACTTTCAGCATACCATAAAACACTAAGATTATCACACCATGTATATTTATATAAAGATATTTAATTCACTTTCATCATACCATAAAACACTAAGATTATGACGATATAACTTTTAAACTAAATTTTGATATATATGTATATATGCCTCTCATATATACTTATATATATACTAATAAATTCCTACAATTATTCTTATTTATTGCATATATATATATAGAATTTTTTTTTTTTGAATTTTTTTTTTTTTTTTGATTTTTTTGGTTTTTTTTTTATTAAAAAAAAAATTATGTACATATTAACTAGGTTTATTAGTAACATAAAAGCAGTAAACTTACGTAGAAACCATTAACAGATAAATTCATGAAGTTGAAAAAATGGTAAACCTTACCTCAACCATCAAAGCGGACTCCGAACAGAGGCGTCCAACCGGGCATCGTCGGAACGGACTGCCTGAACGAACACTGTGTGCATGTAACGGTCTCGTACCCGTTGGCGCTCTGGTAATGGCAGACACCATGGCAAAAAATACATCTTCGAACCCTAGAAGGAGCAGGAGCGGCGGTACAAGGGAATGCAAACTTCCGTTCACAACGGAAGCAGTAAATCGAGACCCGCTTCTGACTCAGATAGAAACATGGCTCTCTGCATCTGGGACACTCCCGGGTTCCAAATGAAGACGGCCACCAGGATGGCTGTGATGTGCCAGTAGTAGTGTTGTCGACTCGCCTTCTGAATAAATCCCTCCGATCATCGTATGCTTTCCTTGTCGAAGTCTCGGAAAGAACTTCCCACGCGGTCGATACGATCTTGAATGCTCCTTCTGCCGCCAGAGAAGCATTCTTGTCTGGATGAACGAGAAGCGCCAACTTCTGATATTGTTTCTTGATGTCTTTCGTCTCGCTCTTCGAATCTACCCCGCCAAGAACCGCGTACCAGTCGATTTCTCCATTACCAAGCTTGTTATTGGTTGCATCGGAGTGGATTGAATAAGCCTTCAAGAACTTATCGATGTAGTCGAAAGATGGATATCGCTGCTTCGCCATGGTTGCTAGATTTACAGCCTCTGAAAAGTTGTTCGTAAATGTAACACTTCTCTAACATAATATACTGAAAAACTCCCCCAACATAGCACACTATGCTAAAAACTCCTTAGTGTATTTTTTACAAATATAACATCGATCAAATCTAGTGTTGAAGACATGGTTTCTTGAATGTGGATACTATGACAGAGAATAGTTGGATAAAGAACAGTTTGTTATTAGGGTTAATATATATAAGATATGGTTATTCACCGCCTTCATCCTATCATAATTTTTTTTTTTAAATTGTATTTTTGTTAAGATTTAAAAAAATTACAACAAATTTTATTTTCAATCTAAATTATTTATCTATTTTCATTAAGTAAAACTAAAGAAAAAGAGTATTTTAGTCATTATACTTAATGTATGTGTATTACAGATGTCTAAAATATTATTTTTATTGAGTTTTATCGTAAAATATTATTTTTTTTCGTCAAATTTTTTTAATAAAAATAAACAAACGGTTTAGATTGAAAATAAATTTAAAAAAATTATAATTTAAATTGATGAAATTAAAAAATCAAATTTATTTTATTTTATGGGTTAAACCCCGATGTGAGAGGCCCAATTACCAAGGTGAAAAATAAATAACTATAATGATTTATAATATAAACAACAAGTCAATTTTGATTTTCTCATAATGGTGATTTATCGCAAGAGGATCTAAATAATGAACATTTTAAATTATTAATGTTGAACCTGTGGTGAACTCAGTAGGTCAAAGTAGGTAAGTCTAATTCCCTCCTCAATTGAACAGAACCGAACCCCAAATTTAATATATGCATTTTAGTTTACTAAAAATGTATATGGATTATAGGAATTTTTTTTTATTTTCTATTTTTTATCTAAAAATCTATTAAAATTTATGATTTAAACACTCCGAAAATTTGCATCAACTTAGAAAGGGAGTTAATAAGGGATTTGGGTGGCTGTTGTGTGGGGTGCACAACAATTACTGTTGTGCAGTCAAATTAGCCCATTTTGAGGTTCATTTTAATAATCCGAACCGTTCAAATTTAAGAATATATCAAGTAGACATACCTGCAAAAAAATTTGGATATCGTTTACCCTTTCATCCACTCAAATTTGTCTTCATTTTAATACTTTAAATTACAGTTATTATTTATTTTTTTTAGATACAAATGTGAGTGGATGAATGGGTAAACAATATCCGATTAACTTGATTTTTGACAAGTATATTCTACTTGATATATTCTGAAATGTGAATAGTTCGAATTATCAAAATAAGACCATTTAACTACACAACAATAACTACTGTACACCCCGTACAACAATCACCTCAAATCCGTTAATAAGAGTCCACAGCCGTTTTAGCCTCGTATAGTCATCTCTCTCATGTGATTGGACCCACTTACGTGAGAGGAAGAGATAAAAGAAGAGAATTTTTTTGTTTTTGTTTGTTTGTTTATTTATTTGCTTGTTTGTTTGTTTGTTTTTTTTTTTTTTTTTTTTGGATATATTTATCAATTCTTTTAAGTCATGTTTGGATCATAAATGTGTGAAGGCATTTATGGAGAAAAAAATAAAGTAAAGAAAAAGTAATAAGAAGATAATGAAGGGAAGAAGTTAAATTTATTTGTTGATTTTCTTATCATTTTCCTTTCTCTTGGATCAATACTTTGTATAGCAAGGCCCAATTAAAATACATTAAAAGCTTCAAATTATAGGCCCATCGGCCTGACCCATATCACACTCTACTTGGCAGCACCACTTTATCTTATCTCGCAAAATATGATAATTCACTACTACAAGAAAATACACAATTGACGATCACTTTTGCTGACTAAAAATATTTTAGTTGTCAAAAGTTGTGGAATTGGCGATCAAAAATTATGTTACTCGGTAAAAGTACAATATTTAGCTACTAAATTTTTTTAGTCGGGGTATATTAATTTTTGGCGACTAAAAAAAAATTTAGTCATTAAAAATCTCACAATTGGCGACTAAAAAAATATTTTGGTCGCTGTATATATAGTTTTGGCAACTAAAATAATTTTGTCGCTGAAAGAAAAATAAAAATTTATTTTTTATCTTTCGCGACTAAAAGTTTGGTCGGCAAAATTTTAATTTCAGCGACTAAAAAATATTTTGGTCGCTGTATATATAGCTTTGGCAACTAAAATAATTTAGTCGTTGAAAGAAAAATAAAAATTTATTTTTTATCTTTCGCGACCAAAAGTTTGGTCGGCAAAACTTTAATTTCAGCGACTAAAAAATATTTTGGTTGCTGTATATATAGTTTTGGCAACTAAAATAATTTTGTCGCTGAAAGAAAAATAAAAATTTATTTTTTTATCTTCCGCGACCAAAAGTTTGGTCGGCAAAATTTTAATTTCAGCGACTAAAAAATATTTTGGTCGCTATATATATAATTTTGGCAACTAAAATAATTTTGTCGCTAAAAGAAAAATAAAAATTTATTTTTTATCTTTCGCGACCAAAAATTTGGTCGGCAAAACTTTAATTTCAGCGACTAAAAGACATTTTGGTCGCTGTATGTATAGTTTTGGCAACTAAAATAATTTTGTCGTTGAAAGAAAAATAGAAATTTATTTTTTATCTTTTGCGACCAAAAATTTGGTTGGCAAAACTTTAATTTCAGCAACTAAAAAATATTTTGGTCGCTGTATATAGAGTTTTGGCAACTAAAATAATTTTGTCGCTGAAAGAAAAATAAAAATTTATTTTTTATCTTTCGCGACCAAAAGTTTGGTCGGCAAAACTTTAATTTCAGCGACTAAAAGACATTTTGGTCGCTGTATGTATAGTTTTGGCAACTAAAATAATTTTTTCGCTAAAAGAAAAATAAAAATTTATTTTTTATCTTTCGCGACCAAAAGTTTGGTCGGCAAAACTTTAATTTCAGAGACTAAAAGACATTTTGGTCGCTGTATGTATAGTTTTGGCAACTAAAATAATTTTGTCGCTGAAAGAAAAATAAAATTTTATTTTTTATCTTTCGCGAACAAAAGTTTGGTCAGCAAAACTTTAATTTCAACGACTAAAATATATTTTGGTCGCTGTATGTATAGTTTTGGCAACTAAAATAATTTCGTCGCTGAAAGAAAAATAAAAATTTATTTTTTATCTTTCGCGACCAAAAGCTTGGTCGGCAAAACTTTAATTTCAGCGACTAAAAAATATTTTGGTCGCTGTATGTATAGTTTTGGCAACTAAAATAATTTTGTCGCTGAAAGAAAAATAAAAATTTGTTTTTTATCTTTCACGACCAAAAGCTTGGTCGGCAAAAATTTAATTTCAGCGACTAAAAATATTTTGATCGCTGTATATATAGTTTTGGCAACTTAAATAATTTAGTCGCTAAAAGAAAAATAAAAATTCACGTTCTATCTTTGGCGACCAAAATTTTGGTCGGCAAAATTTTAATTTCAATGACTAAAAAATATTTTAGTCGCTATATAGATAGTTTTGGCAACTAAAATAATTTAATCGCTGAATGACAAATAAAAATTCACATTTTATCTTTGGCAACCAAAATTTTTGTCGGCCAAAATTTAATTTCTGCGACTAAAAAATATTTCAGGCGTTGTATAGATAGTTTTGGCAACTAAAATAATTTAGTCGCTGAAAGAAAAATAAAAATTTACTTTCACTCATCACTCTTTCTCTCTCTTTCTATCTATCTGTCTCTCTCTTTCTCTTTGTGTCTCTCCCTCTGTCTCTCTTCTCTTTCTCTCTCTCTCACTCATCACTCTTCTCTGTCTGTCTGTCTCTCTCCGTGTCTCTATTTTTGTCTCTATCTCTCTTCTCTTTCTCTCTCTCACTCATCACTCTTCTCTGTCTGTCTGTCTCTCTCTCTGTGTCTCTCGCTTATCTCTCTTTTCTCTTTCTCTCTCATCTCTCGTCTCTCTCTGTCTCTCTTTTCTTTATCTCTCTCGCTCATCTCTCCCTGTATCTCTCTCGTTTATCTCTTTTTCGCTTTTTTTCTCTCTCTCTCTCTCTCTTTGTCTTTCTCTTTTCACTCATTTTTTCATTTTCCTCTCTCTATTCTTTTTCTCTCTCTTACTCATCACTCTTCTCTGTCTGTCTGTCTGTCTATCTATCTGTCTCCCTCTGTCTCTGTGTCTCTCACTCATCTATCTCTTCTCTCATCTCTTTTCTATCTCTGTTTCTTTCGTTCATCTCTCTTGTCTCTATCTCTCTTAATCATCTCTCTTCTCTCACTCTCTCTCATCTCTCTTTTCTCTCTGTCTTTATCGCTCATCTCTCTTATCTCTATCTCTCTCTCTGTCTGTCTCATTCATCTCTCTTATCTCTATGTCTCTATCGCTCATCTCTCTTCTCTCTATCTCTCTCTCTGTCTCTTTTTCTGACTCTCACTCTCACTCTCTTTCTCTTTTTGTCTCTTTCTCTTTCTCTCTCTTCTTTTTCTCTCTCTCACTCATCACTCTTCTCTGTCTGCCTATCTTTGTCTCTGTCTTTGTCTCTTTTTCTCTGTCTCTCGCTCATCTCTCTTCTCTCTATCTCTCTCATCTTTTTTCTTTCTCTATCTCTCTCTTATTCATCTCTCTTCTCTCTATCTCTCTCTATGTCTTTCCTACTCATCTTTCTTCTTTCTCTATCTCTCTCTTTTTCTATGTCTTTCTCTCGATCATCTCTTTTCGTTCTCTTTCTCTCTCTCTTTGTCTATCTCTCACTCATCTCTTATTTCTCTTTGTCTATGTCTCTATCTCTTTCTCTCTCTGTCTCTCTCTTTCTCTCTATCTGTCTATCTCTCTGTCTCTCTTTCACTCATCACTCTTCTCTCTCTCTTTCTCTCTCTATGTCTCTTTCTCTATCTCTTGTTCGTTTCTTTTTATTGTCTCTCTCTCTCTCTCTCTCTACGTGTGTGTCTATCTCTCGTTTTTTTTTTCTTTCTCTCTGTCTCTCTTTGTCTCACTCATCTCTATTTTCTCTCAATCACACTCATCTCTTTCTCTGAGCCTATTGTTGTTGAAAGAGGAAAAAGTCAAAAAATGAAATGGGTCTCTCTTTCTCTCTGTCTCTGTCTCTCTCTCTCTGTCTCTCGCTTATTCTCTTGTCTCTCTTTTTCACTCATCTCTCTTCTTTATCTCTCTCATCTCTTTTCAAATATTTTTTTTCAATCATTTTTTTTTCAATTATTTTTTTTTTCCAATTATTTTTTTTTTCAATTATAATGTGTATGATCCCATCGTCATAAATAATAAAAAAAATATATAAATATTTTAGGCCTAGACAAACATGTTTTTTAGTTTATATTTTAATTTTTTTAAACATTTTGCTCAAACCAAATGCGTTTGTAATTTATGTTTTTCTAAAAATAAACAAAAACCAATTTATAAAATTTATGGAAAATATTTTTCATTAAAATATTACCTTTACTTCTACCAAAGTAAAAAAATAAGAATTATTTTTTATTCATTAAAATTAAAATGAAACAAATAAATTTTCAACTTTAATTACTAAAAAAAAAAAAATCATTAACTACAAAAAAATATTATTTTAACAATTTCTCGCTCATCTTTCTTCTCTCTCTATCTCTCTCTTTTTCTATGTCTTCCTCTCGATCATCTCTTTTCGCTCTCTTTCTCTCTCTTTGTCTATCTCTTACTCATCTCTTGTTTCTCTCTGTCTCTGTCTCTATCTCTTTCTCTCTCTGCCTCTCTTTCTCTCTCTATCTTTCTCTCACTCATCACTCTTCTCTCTCTTTTTCTCTCTCTATGTCTGTTTGTTTGTCTCTCACTCTTCTCTCTCTTTCTCTCTATGTCTGTCTGTCTCCCCTATTGTGCTCACCTTGCTCACTCTCTCCCTCCCCTTTTCTCTATTTACCGAGCTCTTCACTACAAGAAAATGCACTTTTAGCGACCACTTTGTCTCTCTCTCGCTCATCACTCTGTCTCTGTCTCTGTCTCTGTCTCTCTCTTTCTCTATCTATGTCTCACTCATCTCTCTCTCACCACCCATCTCCTCTACCACATTCACTACTACTGCAAATGTCATTCCACTACCAGCATTATTACCATTGTTGCCACTCCACCTCTATGACTACTATTACTACCACCATCGTTACCACTCCACTACCACTACCACCACCACTACTACTATTACCTCTCCTCTACCACCGCCACTCCATCTCCTCTACCACTACCACAACTTCATCACTAATCTCCTTCGCCATCACCACCACCACCACCACCACCACCACCATCACCTCTTATCCACCACCTTCACTACTATTGTCGCTCTCTCTCCTCTACCACAAAAAATTAGTTCTTGATTTTTAATAACAAAAAAAAAATGAGCCACAAAAAACATATTTTTCATTGACCTTAAAAATTAATTTTATTTTAACGAAAAATATTTTTCATTAAAATATTCTACCAAATAAAAAAAAAATTCATTAAAATAAAAATGAAACAAATTTTCCCCATTTTTTTCACTGACCCGCCAGCCCAAGCTTAATTTCCCCTTTTTTTCCCCCGCTTCCCCCCCTTTTCATTTCCTTTCAGGTTTGCAGAGCCCTAAGTTTCGAAACAACACACACACACTCTCTCTCTCTCTCTCTCTCTCTCTCTCTCTCACTCACGGAGGCGAGCGACGAGCGGCGAATTTTGGTTTGGACGAGCGACCAGCAGGACCATGATTCTCGACAAGGGTCAGCTTCTTGAGACCGAGCAAATGCTCCGCGACACCGGTGAACAGTGGCCTGTTATTATCCCTGAGGAGGAGATCCGCCAAGCAGCCCCTGGTACTAAGGTAACAGTTTCTAATCAAATCTCGGCATTGTTTGATTCATACATTTGATCGAACAGTTGGTGGGTCTTGATTATTCTTTCTTCATTATTGTTGTGGGTTTGATTTTCTGTTACATGAATTTGATGGGTTTTTTGTTTTATTCAAATTTTCTATATATATATATATATATATATATTATGAGCAATTGGTGGATTCTTCAATCATGCGTGTGTCAATAGACTCAATATTATATTTTTTGTTTTGTCCAAACCTGACAAAAGAACCAGAGTGACTATCCATGTGCCTGTTATATTTTTGATTGGTTTCAGTTGTTAGACTTGCTTTATGGATGCTGAAGTTTGCCAAGGCTGGTGGCCAAATCTTTTAGGTGTGCATGAAAATTGTTTCGTTGTCGATTGATATTTATCATAAACATCTTTTAGGTGATTGATATTTATGGTGATGGATAAAAAATTAGCAAAGAGAGAAAGAGATTTAACTAGGCCCTGTAATTACTGTCTCATAGGCCCAGTAATGAATACCATGTTCCATTATATGGTACCTGTATTGTAGTTAACAAAGAGAGCAAGAGATTTAACTATCCCCTATTTTTGGAGATCAGCTTCCAAAAGAATTAATGCTTTAATAGAAAGTTCTTTTTTATCAGGGACAAGCCCTCCTTTTGCTTTTGTTTATTAGAGAAGGTGTTATCAGAAGGAACTGTGTTCAAAGATTTGACCATCACTGTCCATGGGTTGGTCAGTGCATTGGAATAGTAAGTAATTTCTAGATGATCTTATCCTCAATACTTGGAATACTTCTATGAAATGTTGTTGTACAAGAAGTGATTCATTCATTTTTGCTATAAATTTTGTGATCAGTATTTCATCCACTTACAAATAGAAACTTGAACATAAATAAATGCATATTAAAGAACAATTTTTCACAAAGAGGCACAGATGTTCTGTAATAATTATTTCTTTGTTGCATGCAATCTCTTAATTGTGTGAATGTGAGTGTGAATGATTATTTCTTTTGTTCTCTTGTATTTTTTTCCTCTTATTCTTATTATTATTTTTTCTCCTTTATGGAAATTGGATTTGAATTCCAAATGGGATGTTTTAAATTTGAATATCCATGTCATTTGGTATCCTATACTATAGTCTTGTAGATAGGATGTCTTATAATTCTATGAGGTGCTATGAGAGGCAGATATGATGAAGTGCTATAATTAGGATGAAGTGCTATGAGAGGCAGGGATGAAGTGCTATTAAATTTATTTTTATCTTGTTTGCTCTTTTTTTTTCTTTTTTTTTTTTTGGGTTCAGTTTCTTGTTTCAATTTTTTGTTTTTGGGAATTTTGTGTTATGTGCTTGAATGAAGTGATTATTAATAGTGCAACATAATTTAATTTATTTGGGTTTGTTACTCTGTCTATTGTTTTTTAGCTGGGTTTGAACTTTGAAGTCTTTATGAGGACTATACCTTTGTCAATTTCTATTGAAGGCAACCACTACATGGTATGTATATTGTTTATGTTACTCTTTGATCTAGCTTTACAATTTCAAGTCACCAAATAGTCTTTGAACTGTTTGTTAAAATGTCTGACCCAGAAATGTTTATTTTGAAATGATAAAGAATTAAGATGAGAAGGAATGGCTAGGCTACCAATGAGAATTTTATTTATTATTTTGTGGTTGAAATTGGGAATTTTTTTTTTCTCTGATGTTCAAAATTCAGAAATATGAAATGGTCAAATAGCGTTCGACTACTATTATTCAAAAACTTGAAATTGTTGGGATGTTTAAACCTTGAAAGCGTAGTGAATTTTTTAACCCCAATATGAACACTTGTGCATGTCAAGCTTTTGGAATGACTTAGATGCCTTTGTTTTCACCTTTTCAACAGTGCTGCCAATATTTATTGGTCCTCCTAATTGCCCAAAGAGCATCCTTTAATATTGCATCATAGCCCTTTAAGTTATGCTGCCCAAATTTCCTAATGGATAGTAGTGTAGTCGCTACTTCCAAGTTCCAATCTACTTAAGTTATGCCTCCATTCATTTAGGAGAGTAAAATATGAATGTAGTGATATCAAGGTTCAAAAAATATAGGGACTTTGCTGATGTTGATTATTGCAGGACAGCGGTAGTTAACTTTAGTAGTGATATTAGCATTCTAGAAGTGGTGAAATTTAGTAGTTAATAGAATGGCATACACAATGACTTTAATACATACAAAAGCAGAAAGCATGTGTTGAAGTTTGAAATATTGATGATGACATATGTATGATACCTATATTTTGATATCGACACGTAATCAATTCAATGATTTGTCAAGAGTTTTAATCTAGAGAGTTCAAACATTTGGAATTAGCTTTGAGAAGATGAAATTAATGTAGTCCTAATATGTGGTTTTTCAATATATGTTTCCTTGTTGCAACTCATTGCTGTGATGGAAATATGAATAGGTTGAGCTTTGTTATAGCATTATTCAATTCAAGTTTTATTTGGTTGTGTTCTTTGTGCATGTTAGCAAAAGAAAATTTTACCATAATATTGTTATTTGCCTCAATCTGCAATATTTTGTTTGAAAACCTGTATAGTCATTTAATTGGCCTATATGCATATGTGAATGTGAATCTGTTGGAGATTTTTTCTGATGTCCGAACTCATCGAATGAATTCAAGCACTCATACGATCATTGATATTGAGGCTTCAGTTGTTTGATCTTCATGAGTCAAAGATCCAAAAAATGATAATAATAATAAATAAAATTAAAAAAAAATCTTGATGACATTTTTTTAAATGACATATGCTACGTGGAGCTGTGTACATGGACTTGGGCAGGTAAGTGCAGGTACCATTACTTGTGCGCAATTTAGTGTTTATGGTTTTGTTGTAAACATGGTAGACTGGCTTTTTAAGGTTCGAGAAAAGAACAATGGTGTACTATTTTTTTTTTCTTTTTTCCTTCTTCATGCTTTTTCCTCCCTGTTTTGTGTGTGTATGTGTGTGGTTGTTAGAGACCGATGAAAACCTAAAAAGCATGGACACTATGGAGGAGGTGTGCCATGTCGGACAAGACACTCTACGAGTACTCCCAAGAGCGTGTTCGACGCTTCTTCAACCTGTCTTAATTGAAATTTAAATTCATAATATCGAACACTTCATAAACACTTCTTGAACCCTCCAAACTCAACTTATGTGATGAATCTCTTCATAGTAACAATCTGCATTAAGTATGTTCTGAAACATTTATTAGATAAATACATTATGTGTAATTTAATGTTCTACAATTGTTTTGCATTCTTTAAAAGCAATTGTTATGTGAATGATATCTTAATGTTAAGTTATGGTATATATGCCTTTTTAATTTTAGTTATTGTTATGTTTCTCTTTTTTTTTTCAGTACGTTTGAATAAACTATGCATATGTTGAACATATAATAAATTTATAAAAATATAAAATTTTAATGTGTCTCAAGCTTATTGTCCTCATTTTTTAAAAATTGTCGTGTCGCTGTTTCGTGTCACGTGTTTGTGCTATTTAGAAGTTAGATGAAAACCAATCTATTCATGGCTTCACTAGTTGAGGGATGTTATGATATGATTCTATAACTGGGGGAGACACTCTCAAGTTGATTTAGGCTATCTCACATTTAGATTGAAAACCTCAAGGAGAAAGAGTGGATAGAGCAAGGTGGAGACATATTTCATTTGGCTAGTTGCCAATAAGGTGAGCTATACCCATTGAGGGAGATAAATCTTTGTCAAATTGCCTACGTGCCTGCAACTACTTTCATTCTGCATGATAGTTATTGAATACTAGTTTCAATAGAAGAGACCTATCTTGACCCCATAGATCCCATAAACTCACCATTCAACATATAAGAAGGGTCTTGTAGGGCGTTAAGTAACAAAGGTCTAAGCATTTGGTGACAAACGTAAAATAAATGAAGTATATTTTGTCTCAATAGTGGTAGTTGAAGTCAACAAGGGAGAGGAATAAGATACATCTAAAAAAGTGCCAAGGGCACTCCTTTATTATTCCCCTACAAGCACAAGTATTCCATCAGGAGCTGTTTGGTGGCCTCAAAATGTTATTTGGACCATTTTAGAAGCTACAAACCAGAACAGGGTGAAAAGAACTGAAAGTCCTTTTAAGTTCGTCCGAGAATTATGCTTATGCACCATGCTCAAAATTCTTGGTAAACAATTGAATCAAAGGTCCGGAGGAGAACTGGCCATTGAATCTTGTGAATTAAATGAGATTAGAATTGGAGAAAGAGATACAATTGGAGGGAATAACCAACTAATGAAAGAACATGAAACCTTTATGTTTCAATGGAGGAACAAGAAACAGTTGGGGGCAATAAAGTAGGTAAAGTGATTGGATTTTGCGTGTTGTTCCCCCATTTATGAATTAGATAATTAGATGTGTTTGGTTGTAAAATAATTCCCAAATCTACTATATTTTGCTTTTGTATTAAAAATTTAAAATCAATCATTCGTTATAAACTAAAGAATTACGTAATCTATAATTGGGAGATTTAATATATATATATATATATATATTTGTCCTCTTATGGCTATACCAGTTTTTGAATTAACTAATTTAGGATTGCTCATTGGAATTATTAAATTCTAAATGGAATGGTTGAATTTTGCAACCAAATGTGGCCTTTCTATGATGGGTACTCATTACTGAAATACAAGAATATATTGAGTGGTAGATTATTGGAGGGTCACTAGTCATGTTCGTATCTCATAGCTTTAGTTAGAAATTGAAACACTGAACCAGGGTTGAATTGCTGGACCTAAATTTATACTCATATATATCAACAAACACGTGTATATACGTATATTGATGCATGCATATGCACATTGGTCACATTCACGAGCATGGAGTATGTAATGGATTAGCTTCTCTTCTTTTTCTTTCGTTTTTTTTTTTTTTTTGGTTGGGGAGGGGGGGTTCAAGAACTCGTGTACGTATAGATGTAGAGGTGTCTTGCATTCCTAATAGGTCTTGATCTGAGGCATCAACATCAACTTTGAGCCCCTTGGTTTGTGATATCATGCCGAGCGTTGGTTTTAGCTTTTCGTCTATTATGGGATATGGTGGTGTTCAGTTATTTATTTCATTTAAGGGCCATTTGAACTGAAATAATTAAAGAATATTTTTTGTGGTCAATATCCAATTCTTTGGTACCAAAACATCTGTTTGAAGAGTATAATTGTTTAGATGTAGACAGTGGATAATCTACTGGAAGTCAACACCGAAGATTTGGCTATTTGCACTTTTAGTTATTCATACTAGTAGAGATAGCATTGATACTTCTTTATTCCTCATGTTTCACATATGCTTCTATCTGGGTACTTGAGACAAAATTCTAAAATTATGTCTACTTCAAGTGATTGATGCCTTCATTTACAGGTTCCTATGGGTCTACCCTGCGTTATAAGAGTGTGGAGCGATTGAAGTCTGTTGGGAAACACTCTCTCCTTGGTGCAAGTGGCGAAATAAGTGATTTCCAGGAGATTTTATGCAACCTTGACAAGCTCATGTAAGCATCTGATCTTGTAAAAAAACTTGGCAATTGATAAAATGCTGACCCTTTTGTATTCATTAATTTTTATTTGTTTTCTATTGTTACTATCACTATATGGAGGATGGTGGCGCTCCTAGTGTTCATTGTAGATTCGTGCTGACTTTTTTTTGTGAGTGCTTAATTTGGCAGTTTGTATGACAATATGTGGGATGATGGGAACTCACTAGGGCCTAAGGAAGTGCACAACTATTTGACTAGGATGATGTACAATCGTCACAACAAGTTCAACCCACTATGGAATTAACTTGTACTTGGAGGAGTGAAAAATGGTCAGAAGTATCTTGGAACGGTAATCCTGTCAGTCACTTAGTTCATTTTCTTGATGCTCAAGGATAAGCTTTCAGTAACCTGGAATATGAATAATTTGTTTTAGTAAATGTGATCCAGGTTAATATGATTGGTGTTCATTTCGAAGACGATCATGTGGCAACTGGATTTGGTCAGTGCATTGGAGTAGTAAGTAATTTCTGGATGATCTTATCCTCAATACTTGGAATACTTTTATGAAATGTTGCTGTACAAGAAGTGATTCATTCATTTCTGCTATAAATGTTGTGATCAGTATTTCGTCCACTTACAAATAGAAACTTGAACATAAATAAATGCATATTAAAGAACAATTTTTCACAAAGAGGCACAGATGTTCTGTAATAATTATTTCTTTGTTGCATGCAATCTCTTAATTGTGTGAATGTGAATGTGAATGATTATTTCTTTTGAAAAGGAAAATTAAAAAAAAATAAAATTTTGAAGTAAATACAAGATATCAAGGACACTTGAAGCATATAATTTCTTGTTGTAAATGGGCTTAGCAAAAGGAGAGAAACAAAAGCAGCTAAAGATTTGAGACAGAGAGTAATAGAACATGTAATCTTTCACTCATGTTCAATTATATATTTCAATTATATGCTGCAATGGTTCATCTACAAGACATTATTGTTTCTTGCAGAACATCCTTGTTGTCTCAAAGTATTACTGAAGGATTACCTTGGCGAGACTTGCTGAGCTGCTTTGTCTCATTGTTTAGGTATGCCAATACTTAATTGTGGTATAGTCATCATCAAATGTTTGTAATGTAATCATATAAATTTTTTGCCATATGGTTAATTTTTTTCATTTTGGATGTTTTTCTAGATTCTAACTTTTCTTATTTTATTCGTAGGTGACTTCCAAAAACGATCAAGCATAAGGCTGACGCTTCAAAACCATATATATTCCTTCATGTTTTAGAATTTTTTTTGGATTCCTTCATTGATTTTCCTTTTAATTTTTGTTCAATTACTTACTGGTTTTCAATGGATGGATGTTTAAAACTTGTCTCAATTAATGTTTTGAATGGAATGATTGTAAAGTTTGGGATTGAGCAGGAAAATATGATGAATTTTAATGTTATATTTAGGTTGGGTTGAATGAATTTTGTTCAATATTGGATTGAATGTTTATAAACAAAAATTGATTGTTCAAAAAAAAAAGAGATTCAGCGACTAACTAATTAGTCGTTGATTGTTTAATGTCTTTTGGCGACAAAATATTTGGTTGAGAAAAGTTTTGGTGACTAAATAATTGGTCGCCAAATTTTACACTTTTGCAACTAAAATCATTGGTCGGCAATTCCTTACCTTTTGGCGACTAAATTATTAGTTGGCGATTCTTCAACTTTTGGCGACGAAAATAGTTGGTTGCCGATTTTTTGCTTTTGACGACAAACATATGTGATCGGAAAAATATTATTTTTCGCGACCAAAGTGTTTTAGCGACTAAATGAATTAGTCGTCGTGGTAATGATATATTTAGCGATCAAAAATTTAGTCGGCAAATCTAACTTTTTCCTGACTAACAAAAGTTTTGGTCACCAATTACTTTTACCGACCCTCAATTGGCGACCAAAGTGGCGACCAAAAAAATTGGTTGCGAATGACTTTTGTCAACTAAAAATGGACTTTTGCCAACCAAATTTTTAGTCGGCAAAAAGTGTAATTTTTTTGTAGTGAATATTGCCGACCAATCTTTTGGTCGTGGAATGTATTGCCAACCAAATTTTTTGGTCACGGAATGTGACAATTTGTGACCAAATTAGTTGGTCGTGGAAATGGGCGACAAATGTCGACCAAACTATTTGGTCGTTGAATGTGCGGATTGGCGACTAACATGTTTGGTCGGGAAAATATGACTTTTTGCGACTAAAGTGTTTTAGCTACTAAATGGATTAGTCGCAGTAATTATATATTTAGCGACCAAAAATTTAGTCGGCAAATATAAATTTTTCGCGACTAAAATTTTTTTAGTCGCTAATTACTTTCTGCGACCCTCAATTGGCGACCAAAGTGGCGATCAAAAAAATTAGTCGCGAATAACTTTTGCCGACTAAAAATGGACTTTTGCCGACCAAATTTTTCGTCGGCAAAAGTGCGAATTCTTGTAGTGATTCGTCTCTAAAAAATTTAAAAATAAATAAATTAATCACGTAAATATGAAGAATGAAACTTCTTTCAAATCTTTTAAAAAGGATTAGACGGTCCAGTTTCACATAATGAGACTTTCACAAAGCCCATTCAAGTATTTAAGCCGTTTTATTGTTTTATTTCCAGTTTGTAAATAATTTATAAAAAAATTAGACTAATTTGATAATATTATCTACATAATTTTATCATAATTATTTTTCAAATAAATGATCAATACATTCTTATAATTATATTTGTCTTTTTTTTATTTTAAATATAAATATAATAAAGTTATGTAATTAAGATTATTAGATCAATTTAATTTTTTTTTTCCCATAGATAAACACATGGAAGCCTAACAAAAGAATAGTTTCAATCATAAAAATAGGCCTTACACATGGGAGAGTAAGCCCCACACAATTGAAATTCAAATACTCACCAACATTATGTAACCAACACATACATACGGTGGGTTATTTACATGATTTTGAATCAGTGTTGTGCTTCTGTTGTACTTTGAAACGACATCGTTTTATTTTTTTTCATTTTATTTTTTACTTTACTCACAATCACCATCAAGCCACAATATTATCCACTCCCACCATCAAAGATCAATATCATCCCAAATTAAATCCAAATCAATGTGTCAAGAGAAGGATTTTATTGAACAAATTAAACCCAATAAATTGTTCTTTGAGGACTTTTTTATTTTTTTATTTTTTTGTTCATGTTGTTCAGTTTAACATTATGGGACTTTCACAGAGCCCATTCAAGTATTTAAGCCATTTTATTGTTTTGTGGATAAATTATAAATACACCCTCT